GCCATAGGGGCAGAGCCACCGAAACTCTTTGGAGTTCACAACTTGCCACAGATTGCCAGGGATGCTGGAAGTAGAACTGTGGGATTTAATGTTTATGCTTTTTTTTTGTTGTTGGTACTGGGGATTGAACTCAGGTCCTTGCCCTTGTGTAGCAGGCAGTGAAACCACTGAGCTAAATCCCTAGCCCCTGTGGGATTTAATGTTTGCCCTGCTGGATTTTGGTCTTGTTTTGTTCCCATTCCTTGCTATGCCCGTTTGTAATTTTTGGAATGGAAATGCTGATCTTGTGACATTGAATGTTGGAAGTGTTTAACTTTCTTTTCATTTGTACAGAGGGTTATAGCTAAGAATTTGCCTTAAATCTTAGAGGTGATTTTGGACTTGGACTTTTCAGCAGTGCTAAAACTGTTAGGACTCTGGCAATTCTTGGAGATGGACTAAATGCCTTTTGCATAAAGGGATGTGCATGTATCTTTGGAGGGACAGGTGTGAAATGTTATGGCTTGTGTTTAGATGTCTCTCCAAAGCCTCATGTAGCCATAGGTGGGGCTTTTTCAGAGGTGGCTGGATCTACAGTGTGCAATGCTGGAACTGATTCATGATGCAGTGCTAGGATCAAGGGCACTAGGATTAAGGGTCTGAGTGCTCCTCACCCTAAGTAGCCTGGATAAGATATAAGGGATAGAAAGAGCTGTGGTCATCTCTTGCTTGCTTTGCTTCCTTCTGCCTGCCATTAATTGTTTCTCCTCTGTGACAGCTGTCTGCCATGCCACCCTGCCTTGGAACCAGGTGATTATGGACTGAAAGCTCTACACACTGTGAGATAAATAAACCTTTCCTCCTTTAACATGTGGGTGTTGGGCATTTTTGTCTCAGTATCAGGAAAAGTAACTAAGGTAACCAGTTATTGAGATGAAAAGAAAAAAAGGCTTTTATAACCTGACCTCTGCTAACAAAGCACTCCTGACAAAGTAGCAATGCTGGGGCTGGATTGGGGGAGTCTGGAGCATGCAGAGTTCACTGAAAAGCAGCAGGCTCATTGACAAGACAACCCAGATGGGGCCAGGTGTCCATGAGATTCAAGAAGTCAAATTAGTGGCAAACAAAAGCCTTCCAAGAAATATATGGAAAGAAATGAAAGTAGATTAGAGATATGAGAAAGCAAGAGGGAAGCACTGTGAAGGGACCCTGGGTCCACCCTGTGGCAGCAATTGTAAGAATTTCAGCTGAGCCCAGGGGAGATAGAAACCTAAACCAAATCAGAGCTGGCTAAATGGATTCCTTTCCTGGAGGAGGCTGGGTCTTAATCAAATCTGTAACACATTTCTGTTTCTAAAGCTTCTCTGATTTCTGTTCCACACTCAGGCTTTGCAAACCTCATTCAAGCTATTTCATGTCATTATTTCCGGGGGTTTTAAGGCAAGAAATAATACCCAGGAGTGCCCATCTAAAGAGCTCAACAGTTTCAAAAGGCAAAAAAATATCACTTCTCTTTCCCCTCTTCAGGATTCCTGAGTTCCAAGGAAGCTCAAGAAAGAGTTTCTACAGAAAGAAACTGACATGCATTCTGGACTCCAGGGTCATATGAATTTTCATATTGATGCACATATTCAAGTCATTCCTCTACTATCAAATGCTCAGCAAAGATCATGACAAGCTCTGGTCCATTAGCACACACAGCTCAGACAACAGGGCTGGGTGGGGCTTTTAATGTTCTCTATTCATTAAGAAATCCATCCATTCACAGGTTCAACAGAACTTGTGTTTGGGGCATGTGTGCCTGTGTTTGATGGCACCAGGAGATACAAAAGGTACACAAGTCAAGGTACTTTAAGGCATTATCACTTACCTTACAGAAACAATACACCTCTGTGAACTGCTGGAGAGCAATTATATGACATCACTGTTCAACAGGAGAACTACCACACAACCCTCAACTACAAACACACATACTAAGGGACCAGCTAATGGGAGAGTAGTCAGAATGAGCGTTCCCATCACAGTAACAGTCCCCAAGAAACCAAATGTTTGAGATTAGCAAGTCCACTCTCACACTACCTCATATACTTTTCAAAACAACTCTACAGGATAGGGTTATTCTCATTTTAAAAATATAATTATATTCAGAGAGATTAAGTACCTTGCATCAGCTGGGCACAGAGGTGCACACCTACAATCCTAGCACTCAGAAGGCTGAGGCAGGAGCATCGCCATGAGTTTGAGGCCAGCCTGGACTACATAGTGAGTTCAAGATCAGCCTGGACTATATAGTGAAACCTTGTCTCAAAAAAAAAAAAAAAGTGTCTTGCATCAAGTTACAAACCTTGAAAGTGTTACGGCTGGAATCTGATCCTTCAATTCTAAATCCAAGCACTCCTGTACCACACTGCCAGGGGTGCATATCAGAACATGACCACATGACCAGAGACTTAGGACTTGTCCAGAGTCAAGCAGGAAGTTTTGGGAAGGCTATGATTTAAGCACAGGCCTTAGGACAGATAATCTTATAGTGTTCCTAGGATGTCTTTCATCTGGCAGCTATCACGGTCCATGCTTGGGCTTATCTTTGGTACTGAAAAACAAGAAATACTAAGGTGATTATTATAAGGCGAACTTGTGAGCCTCACAAGATGGGCATAAAGACAGCAGAGAACAGGCCTGGGCACGAGGGGTATAAAGGCCATCAGAAGGGCTGATGATGGCCCATACCATCAGCCCAGGCCATGTTATCCAGTATACCCATGCTGAGATATCTGTTTGGGTTTGTCAGGCTTGTCCTTGCAGCTGAGGGTTTCTTCCTTGTTTGTTCTTTTTCTCTTCTCCTCTCCTCCTCTCTCCTTTCCTCCTCTTCTCGCCCAGCCCTCCTCCCTTTTTCTGCTGCTGGAGATGGAACCCATAGCCTCACACATTCGAGGCAAAAGCTGTAGCACTAGGGTGTGAGATGGCTCCTTCAGGAGTTCGGCATGCAATGGCAAGGACTCGGCCTCACACGAAGAACAGAAGAGACCCAAATATTTTCCGACTTCTCGCTCCCATTGTCCTCTGAGTTGGATTCTAGCCTGGATTTAATCACTTGTTCGCATGTCTGTCTCCTCCATTAAATTGTAAGGACAATACTGGGCTTTATTCAGAGTTAACAGAAGCATTTAATCAACACATGTTGAATTAAACTAAATGAACTAGACCTGGCTCTGCCTCAGTGTGACTTCAGACAAGCTCTTGCATGTCTCCAAGGCTTAGGGCCTTCATTTTTCAAACAGGGATGAAAATGCCTGCCTGCTGACCTCACAAAGCTGCTGTCTGTCATGAGGACCAAGTAAGGTCATGCATGCAGGAGCAGTACTAACAGTTCCAGTCCCATATGAACATAAAGGATTAATCTAGTCACTTACGGAACTTCTAGCTGCAAGGTGATCCTGGATTGGGAACATCATTTACTTGGGAAACCTCCTGTACATTTTTTTCTGCCGACTCTCACACACCAGACCTTTAGTAAGAATTTTCTGTCTAGCTGATCTGCCTAACAATTACTAACCAGATCAGAAAGGGATGAAAGTTCTCACAGAGTTGCAAACTGCTAGATGTATTTCTTATCAGTTTGGAAAAGATGTTGAGTGTAGTACAAAGAACAGGATTTGTGTACCTTCAGGAAAGCCTAGTTTCTTCCTGGTGACTATGGGCTGATTTCAGTTAGAAGTGAGGAACAGACAACGGGGCTGGCATTTAATAAAAGTTAGCATTAGGGGATCTTATTTTGAAACCCCTTTAGGCATCATCATTTTTCTCATCTAAAAATGTCCTTGTTATGGGCTCAGCCAACCCCTGGATACCCCCAGAGCAATCTGGATGCAAGGCTCTGATCCTCTCCAAAGGCTCTTTTGCAGACAGGGGTGCTGTGCTCCAGGACTGCATTAAAGTGTCAAGTGCTCCCCATTAAACCCCACATGCCAGTTCTCTGTGTCTGGCCCCACTGGTGCCTGGGCCAGATGAGCCTATGTACTCTACTTTTGCAAGGCCAGACATCGAAAGGGATGGAAATATTCCCAGCAGGGGTGAGAAAGCCAAGGCAGCAGAAAGCCCTAGGGCCCTTGGGGCAGAGGAGGCTCCCTAAGAGGGGGAAACCAGTCTCACTCTTCAAAAAGGGTTCCAATACTGACTCATTTCTCCCATTCTGTTTGACACTTATGCTAAGATTGCATTTGATTTCCTTCCCTCCCCTTTCCCAAGATTGAATATTTTTTTAGTTCCAGGTAGCTCATGTGGTACTGATGTAGTTATGAAGACACCTGCAAAGGCTGGAGGGTAGGTGGTCAGGTATGGCTACTACAATATGTTAAGTGTTATACTGGCAGTGGGAGCAGGGAGTGGTAGGAATAAAGAAGAAAATGACATTGAAGCAAGGCCTTCAAGGGTCAGTAGGGGTATGTGGGGGGATTGAAGGCAGAGAAACTACCTTTGTAAAGACTTAGGAGTTGGTAGGTCAGGGTGGGCAATAGTGAGCGGCAAAGTGTGCTCCGGGAGTGTGGAGGAGGGAGGAAATGTGGACGTTGCACACATAGACTGCAGACCAGTGGCCTAGGGTCTTGCCTGCCATGGAAGGAGCGGAACTGTGTCAGTGGGCATGGAGAAGGGGGACTTGTTCATGTGGAGGTGGGGTACATGTGCCCTTCTGTTCTGGGATTGGTTTGCAGCAGTTTGCAAAAGTAATTTCAAAGTACCAAGATATTCGAGAGCTGGTTGATTTTACAATGGTAGTTTGAAATCAACCACACTGGGCACATTTATATGACAAAAAGTGGCAAACATCACAAAATTTTTTTTTCAGATCTGGTTGTTAAGCATTTACCAGCACACCGCAGGAGGGTATGTAGGTGTGTGTGTGCACGTGCATGTTACGCACTGCTAAAATCAGAGTTGCTAAAAAGTCACCAGGAAGAGGCCCAGCCCCAGCCAGAAAAAGGTCTACCAGGCAGAAGGCCCCCAACTCCTGGCATACTCACCAGCCTGAGATTCTTCATTGCTTGGGGAAACATGCCTTGATGTAACTGCAATTTGCCAACTTTCATTACTTGTACACCTCTGACGGGATGGCTTCCTGGGAAAAAAATCCTGGAAGAATCCAAAAGACAAACAGTGTCAGCAGCTCTCACCTTCGCAGTCAGTACTGTATCAGGAGACTATGAAAGTGGCAGCAAACACTGGCTGGGAATGTTAATGAGCTACTGAAAGGAAATTAGCTTTGCAATGCAGGAAAATGCAATACCCGGGGGAATTAGCACACTGCCTGTCTTTAGCATCTCCAGAATCCTTCTGCATTAGGAAAAAAAAAATAATATAGGGCTGCAATGCCTCTCTAATACACACTGGAGAGAAGAAACACAAGTTTGGACCTCTGTGTTTGTATTTGGGGAAGAGTGCATTACATTTATGATACTAACCCGACCTTCACCCTCTTCCATGAAGCCTGAGCACTAGCAGAGCCTGGAGACAGAAGACTGCCTCTCAGCATGTATTTGTGGGTTAAATGAATGAAAGTCTCAAGATGCCCTAAGTAGATACTACCGCATCTCGCCTTTGACTGTAAAGACCTTTATGGAATGATAGTTACAGAGCTCACCATGGTCTACCTTTCTGATAGTTTCAGTGTACTTATTTTATTATCTTGCTGGATTATAATGCTTTTGCTGAGGGCACTCTCTGAGTTCTTGGTCACATCCTGCGTGCAGGAAGAACTCAATACACACTTATCTCTTTGATGTATGACATAGAGAATAAGGTGTACTGAACCAAAGAATGAGGACTTAGGGCTGTTTCAGCCCCCATGAAGAGCTACCTCAATTCAATTCAACTCAACAAAAATTTACTACACTGGGGTCACTCGTTTGGCCTCTTTTACCATCCCACATTCTCAGGAATACTGAGCTCCTGCTGTTTATGGAGGGCTGTATGTGGCGCTGGAGGAAATATCACACTGTATATAACTAAGCTTTTCCCTCAAGGCCCAGTAATCCCATCAGACATAAGGCAAACATTCACATGAGAGTTACAACAATATTACAAGGCAGAACATGATTTAGTGCCCAAGTCAGGCCAACCTCAGTATATGTTAGATGTTCAGTTGAAGTTTGAATTGAGCTGAGAAGCTGATGTAGAAGTTTATTAAAAGAGAGGTGACTGATAGTTGGCTAGACTAGGGAAGGCTTTCTGGAGGAAGAAAACAGGATTCAGAAAACCTTGGCTGGGTGAGCAGAAAGGAAGCAAAGCACAGCCCTGCTGCTCCATGTCAATAAGATGAGCCTAGGAGCCATCACTGATACAGAGCTTGCACTGCGATAGGCTCTGCTCTAACTGTTCTTCATTTATGAGCCCTTGGGGACCACTTTAAGTCCTCCTGGTTAACAGGTGAGGCAGATTGGCCAGGAGAAGCAGGTATGTTCTCTGACAAGTGTGTGCATATTTGCAAACCATTCTCTCTCCTTCAGCCTCAACCCAACGACCCCCCCCCCCGACCGAAATGTGATACAGAAACTTTATTCATTCATGTTCTTAGCAAAGTAGAAAAGCAGTACCTGGGAGGAAAGTATGAAATCAATAGAAGGCTGACCCAGCCCTTTTCTAAAGAACTGAGAAGGAGGAGGAAGGGGAATAAACAAAGGAGACACCTGGGTCCTGCATTTTTCTTCATCTCTTGAGTATGCTAAGAGGTCAGTCATTTCACCTCTCACCCCTTCCAGAATGAACATCATTATCTACTTGTGTGCAAAAGATTTTAAGATCCCCAGACAAAAGACTTAAGTGCAGAATGCCATTATCAGAAGGTAATTGCCCTGGACACTTTCCTTGAAAAGCACACCTGGATTTTGGATTTTTTTTATTGCTATGAATGTGGCATAATTAAATTTAAAGCCCAAAAAGTAATTTTATACTAATAATCTCTCCACTAAGTGGGCGTCTGTCAAGTCAGTTAGCTAAAGGAAAGAAAACCATTGGTCTTATGATGACAGTGAAAGTGGTGCATAATTATGCTGTGACAGGTATCTGCCTTGGTCACTGAAAAATAAAGTAGAGTTTTACAAGGAGAAGATGAGAAGGAAGTGTGTGTGTGGGTTGGGGGCCCCACATAAACTTTCCGGGAGCATTTTCACATGCACACTCCCATTCTGGCACAGTGCTGGCTGCAGCCTGTAGTTCAGGAAGCCTCTAGCTTACATGTGGAATGAATCATCATCACCTGCCGGACTAGCACCTCAAGGAATGCTAGTGAAGCTGCCCACCAAGGACACAGGCTTCAGCAACTTCACCATGTGTGACAGCAATGAGGACAGAGTCTTCAACCGCAGCACTATCAAAAACCAAGGCCAGGCTGAGCGTCTGGACAACAAATCAGGTGTGCCTGAGGACTGAAACAGGAGTCCTGGGGAGAAGAGGGAGAAGGTACATCATGCAATGCTAGGTTCTGGGCCCCGGGCTGTGAGGACTCTGGAGAAATCTAAGGTAAGCCTGACTGGCGAACACAGTTAAGTTGCAGAAATGAGGCAAGTGAAATCAAGATAGAGAGAAGACTGAGATCCATCAGAGCACAGCACAGACTCTGGGTTCTTGGGAAGCAGCAGGGCCCACAGTGGTTGGAGGAACAGTAGGCTTGAGCTGGTTTGGACCAGGGTAGACGATGAGATTCTGGGCCAAGCATGCAGGGCATGGGAAGGGGCAGGGTTGGGCTCCTCTGGTGGTGGTACAGGAGGCTGAACACGGAGGGTAAGTGAGCCTGCTAGTCTGACCAGGGGAGACAGAGTGGAGAGGGTGGCCTGGCTATGCAGAGCACACATGCAGTTAGGAGACTTGGCCTTGCCCTGCTAGGCAGTGAGGAGCTGCTCAGAGGACTGAGAATATTTCATCAGAAATGGAAACAAAGGAATTTGTTAAAAGGTTATAGAACTGAATCAACAGGAACTGGGGACTTTCTGGGGTATAGTGGAGTCAGAAATGGCTATAAAATTCAGAAAAATGACCATCTCCACAAAAAAAAAATACAAGGAAATTGTATAATAACTATATCATTTGACAAAGCATTCTACTTGTTTGGGTATTACACATTTTCTTTTCATAGATATGATGCTAGCATTCTCATGCCCCAGAATGCTGGCCTTGAATGGGAAAATTGCCTTTGGTGCTTCCACAGTGAATAAGTGCACAGGAGGGAATGAGTTTAAACAAGCAGAGAAAAGAAGGAAGAATGCACACTAGCTTTAACTCAAACACACAAGCACCAAAGTCTTGCTGTCACAGTCTATAAGGAGGCTGAGAGAGAACTGGAATGTCTCAAGTGGAAGGGACGTAGAGAAAAAAAGGTCTTCCTGAGGTTTTTCTATATGGTGCTATTACCAGTCACACTGCTTCATTAGAGGTAGCTGCTTTGGTATTTATTTACATGGCAGGAAAAAGCATTTATTGTTCAGAACTGTTTTAAAAAATCTAATGCAAAACACATCCTTGAATCTAAAAAGAGAGCTTACCTGCTTGTAGCTAATATATATGTATTGATGACAGACCTAGAAAAACCATAATTTTGCAACTCCCGAAGAAATAAGTGATCCAGGGAAAAGGTATCACTAGAGGAAGCCCTTAGATTAAAAAATGATGGAGTCTTTTACAGTGGAGGGATTGAGTTGTTCTAATCTTAGTTAGCATCACTAAAATGAGATGATCAGACATTAAATGCCATCCTTTAGGATGGAATAGGAATTATTTTGCATTACCTATAAATAAACCTTGACAAAGCAAAGCAAAGCCAAGCCAAGCCAAGCCAACCAAGCCCAGTCCAGTAAGCCAAAATGTACTTTAAGCCAACAAAGTTGAATTCCATTTCATAGGAAAAATAAGTGATAAGAGGAACAAGTAACTCTGGGATATGGGAATTCTACAGGGCATTGGCTTAGGATCTTCTATAGACATGAAAAAAAAGATGGGGTAATCTAAATTTTAAAAGACTGAGGAGGTAGACAACCATTTGTAATACGGAGACCTTGTGCATCTTAACTCGAAAAAAGCAACCATAAGAAGACATTCCTGAGATAAACAAGGAAATATGAACATAAAATGGCATCATGAGTATAAGAAAATGTCTACCTTTTTCAGAGATACAAACTGAAGCACACAAGGACTATACGATGTAATGCCTGAGATCTAATTTAAATATCTCCAGCAGAGTTTTTGCTTCCAGCAATGGTGGATTAACATGCTTCAGACCAACTCCTGCTAAGAACAAGAAAAGACAGACTAAATATTTTTAAAAACCTATTTGAAGGTATCATAGAGCCACTGAGGCCTCAGAGTCTTAAAGAGTCACAATCATGGAAGCTCAGGAAGGAGAGCCTTATATTCACTGCCACTTTTTCCTTGATGACTAGAAAGGAGAGATAGGCCAACCAGGAGAGCAATGGCTTTGGCAGCAGCATAGAAAAGGAAACAAGGAAATTGGAGTTTAGGGCTCAATCAGGATGAGAAGGAGCTTTGGGAAACATGTCTGGCTTTTATTTGTGACCTCCAAAGGACTACAATCTAGGAATAGTCTGGTAAACCAGAAACAGACCAGCCTTTACCAAGAATTAATCAATTTCGAACTGTGATAGAATTAAAGTGATATATTTCTACCTTGACTGCCAGAAGCAAAAAGAAATCTCTCTAAAGAAGATAACAACATCCTGAACCTCAAATTATATCTTTAATTTTTCATCTTTTTTTTTTTAAAGTTTAAAAAATTTTACATGCAGTAAAATCATTACTAGGCATGCAAGAAGACAAAAACTGAAAACCAAGACAAACAATGAAGCAGATCTACGGATACTGAAATACTAAGATTCTCACACACTGACTTTAAAATAACTATAATAAATATATGTGAGGACTTAGGAGAAATCAGAAATTATATTTTTAAAACAATGGAAATTCTAGAATTGAAAAATTAGGAAACTGAAATTAATAAACTCAGTAGTTTAACATTAGATTAGAGCTATGAATTAATGAACTGGAAAATAGTTTAAATAAATATAGACATCATACAACACAAAGTGATAATGGAATGGAAAATAGGGACATAGGTGTCATACATG